TTTCCCTTAGATGAATGCCAGTGAAGTTAGTTCAGAGGTTATCTTGATATGGTTACTATTAAATTAGGAACAATTGACAAACACTTTTACTTGGAGAGCCTGCATTCTTATGCAACTGTACTGTAACAAAGATGGCAACCATACCTACCTTGCTTCCTTTTTATTTTAGAAAAAAAAGGATGGATCTCTGCTCAAGAAAACAAAGAGTTTAGCCTTTTTCAGTTAGTGCGCAGTGAGTATAATGACAAGGAGCTTGCTTAGAAATGAAAGAAAAAGGTGTTTTCTTGTAACTATGTACACTCCCATTCCTTACAGTAATAACAAAGAATTCTTTGGTCACCTGAATGTTAGAGCTCTAGTGAAACATATATTGGTGATATTAAAATGTTGTGAATAAAGAGATTCCTTTTCTTCTGAATCCAAGTATTAACTAAATACAAATACCAAGATAGAGATTACATTTGCCAACAATGATACAATTTGCTTTGTGCCGCATTAGAAGAGAATTTATGCAACTATAAAAATGTGGGAGGCTGCAAAGGCCTATTGAGACCCTTGTCTATTGTAGAAAAATAGACCAAATAGACCTCTTGTCTATTGTAGAAAAAAATTCCCATTAAAGAAAAATAGGGTGTGAAAAGTCACAGTTGAAAGAGAGGAGTAGGGAAGTATATATGAATCTTATCAAGATGCAACAGATTTAGCAGTGATGAAATTAACCAAACGTAAGTACAAATTAAATCACACCTATGCTGAATTAAGTCAGGTAAAAAATAAGGAAATAACAGTGCTTTGGCTTCTTCATGGCATCTTAAAAGGCATGTCAATCCAGATCAAGTGTTGACTGTAGCAAAGTTTCAGATTGTTAGTAGGCACACAACAAGTTAATCTACAATGTCAACTGTCCTGCAAAGAACTCTATAATTCAGCAGCCTCCTCTTGTAGACTCTAGTCCATTTACTCCTGCAAGATTATCATACTATGCTATCAACCATGAAAAGAGAAAAGGTGGTTTCAATAAGCTAAAGGAAGGTTCAATAAAGCAGCTGAAACCTCAGGCTGTCACCACAGGAGAATGACAAAATGAGTTTTTAAACACAAGCATCCACAAACTTTGGAGTTAAGTTAGGCTTGAGGTTTTGCATTACTGTTTCTGAAAAGAAGCACAGCTGTTGAATTTCATGGCATTTTAGAATAAGTAATGTTACTTTTTTTGTGGGTGTGTTAACAGTAGAGATCTTGGCTATTGCATAAGGAAGGGAGATTGTTACCATGTGTATTAGGATATTTTGGGGTGTTTTTGTTTTCATTCTTCTAGCTTCATAGACTGAGCAGCTAACAGCTGGAGGTATTAGCTGCATCTTTACACCTGTTTAACTGATACAGAGGAGGAGTTCCATTTGCTTTCAGAAGGAATAAATCATTGCTACATGTACACAGATAGATATATACATGATTTTATGTGGGGAAGCCTCAGATTAGCTATATTAAGTGGGTGAAACTTGGGAGAAGACTCAAGAAATGCTAAATCTTAAAGACCTCCATTTTTTTTCTGAACATAGGCTATGATAAGTCTCAACATTATGGTCTTGCAGAGCTCCTGCTTATGAAGCAGTTTTGTAAATGTGAGGTGCTTTCCAGATCCAGGCATACCCTGCAGCTATGGTTCTGATGATGTCTTTCAAAATGTGCCTCATTCTTGTTATGGCAGCACAGAAGGACAGAGCCCTGGGCACAAGGCTCTGAGTGTAGCACTGCACAAGCCTTTCAGTTTACCCTTCTAGGATGTTCTATGTTTCTAATTGCAATGCAGTTTTTGAAGCGTTACTCCAGCCGACCTCTTGTCATAGTAGAGTCCATTTGTACAGGTTTGATCCTGTGTTCATTCAGACAACAGAAATGAGCCCAGCAATAACTTGTGATAGGTCAGCTCAAAATCACCCCAGTGGTTTGCAAAGGTGGTAAGAGCTGTCTGTGGTAAGAGCTGTGCACAAAGTTCCATTCGTTGCCACAGAGTAGAACTGTGACCATGTGGCTTGAGTTGGGTTTATCTCTCACATACTTCTGTTGAGATGGCATTCTTCTGTAAATCCAGTGGCACCTTGTGGAATAATATGTCGTGAGTTATCCCCTACACAATAATGATGGAATATGACAGCAGCTTGCAATACTCTTAATATGCAAAATGTTGGCAAAGGGATTGGTCTTTTAATGCTGACTGCTGCACCTAAACAAGGTTCACCCACTGCAAAGTGTCAGCGGTCCCCCAATTGCAAACGAGGAATGGCAGGGTTAAAAGGAGTGCTCTCATTTGTACTGGGCTTAGAAATGTAGCATTCATAGCTTGTTTGAAGGAGGGGAAATCACAGGAGAAGTAATTGTTATGAAAAACATAATCCAAGCCAAAATTGTTGGGATTTTTTTTTGTTTAGGAAAAAACTCCCAAGCTTGAAGGAGAGGAGAAAAAAAAAGCAGATAATATGATAGAAGAGGTAATAAAGGTAATGCAACCTGAGTTAAAACCAGACACAATGAAGTTTTGATGTGGCAACTTTTCATCCTGCAGGGATGTTACTGAAGTTGCAATTCTCTTTGCTGTGGTGGATCCATTTAGATCTCATTGTACTTTGCATGTTACATATCAGATTTTATAGTATTGGAGACTTATTCTGTTTATTTTTTGGTTTGTTTTTGTCTTCTGACTGTAGCCCTTGGTGTTTTTTCGGGCCTATTTCATTTGGTATGTTTTACAGTATTCTGGTCTCTTGTCTTTTCCCCTCTCCCCCTCCTTGGCTGGAACTGGATCCTTTTCTGCATTCAGAGCATTTGCTCTTGGATTTCACAGGAAATTTTTTAACTTGTCCAATTCACTGGGTTTAGAGTTTTAATATTTTATATGTCTATTTTTCTATCACTAAAATAGCAGCTAGAGGCATCCCAGCTGAGGTCAAGACCTTGCTGTACAAACTAAAGTAGGAGGCAAGCTTGCTCCCAGGTGCTTGGAGGGCAACTGGTGTTTGGGTGCCTGCATAAATCGTGGGATTAATAGCTGCATATTTCTACAGGTTTTAGGCTAGGATGCCAAAGCACTTCTCACACACAAATAAATTTAGCCTCCTTTCCTCTATGAAAGTCAGAGACTTGGTTCTGCAGTAACACTTTCCCCCTCTCTAATTCCCACACATGTACTTGTTACTGACATATATATGACTCTGGTCAATATAGGTGCTTAACTTTTTAAAGAGCCTGTGTAAGTCACTAAGTGCATATTGATTTGAAGCAAATGTAAATTAGAATTAATTTTGACTTGCTAACGTAGTCAAATAAGGAATGTTTCTATTGATCTCTGTCCCAGAAGCCAATTATCTGGATTAAGTGTTTTTATTACGTGAAATGCAGAGTATAGTATATATCATTCTGCATTGATCAGTGTGAAATTGCATATTTAAGACAAGGACTGTAAGTAAGAGTAGTTAACAAGTGATTTATTTTTAAAAACCATATCTGGTTTTATTTACCCCCTGCTCTTCCCTGTTCGAATGCTGTGTTTGTAACTACCGCTGAATAGGAGGCTGTTGATGCATGTGGATCAACAGGGATTCTTGTTCATATCATTTCCATTTCAGCTTCCTTCCCTTTCACTCTGCTTCATCTATACTGTGTGTTCCCCCTCCCTTCTGTCTTCCCAGCCCCCTTATCCATATTTTCTACTCCTTAGTGTTGAGCAGTTCTTGCCGTACTGTGCTGTGCATGAAAAAAATGCTTTCTACATTGAATAAATACATTGCAGCGATCGCTCCTGGAAGCAGGCGCTGCTCAGCATCAGGAGCATTTATTAGTACAGGTGATGGCTAGAAAAAGTGTGCTGAATACACACGACAGGGATGCTGTAGCCAGTGCCGGGGGTACGGGCGCCGCCGGCCCCTTTGCGGCCGCTCTGCCGGGGCTCAGCAGGCGGCGGGGGCCGCTCCTTCCCCGCCGAGCCCCCGGCTCGCCGGTGCCATCTCGGGAGCAGGATGCGGCCACGGCGCGCTGGTACCAGGCTTGCGCTTGCAAGACGGCGACCTCCAGGAATCGCTCTTCCTCCCGTTATCCAAAGACTGACATTATCTGTATGTATCACTATAGCGGTCGGTGCCTCAGCCCCGCAGCAACTTAATAATCTTGGTAACATCCTGCTCTCAACTCATTTTCTTGGCAGTAGTTTTAATTACGTATCGGGCTCCTGAATGAATTTGTTTTCTCTGGATCCTCGGTATATTGAGACGCTTGTCACGTTTGGGTGCCTGCAATCACTGATGCGTTTGTTTTAGGGGATGAATTAGTCTTCTGAGCCTGAGCATGTCCAATTTATGAATTAGATTTCATTGAAAGCTAGAATAAAACAAAACAAGAAAAGGTTCTGCTGTACCACTTTTCCTCCCCACCACCTCGTCCCCAGCGCGGGGATAAAAACCTCGCATTTCCATTTCTCTCCTCAAACACGGATCATGTCCCGGGCTCGAGCGCGTGGAAGAAGGAAGGGGCATTTCCTCCACCTCCCGCTTCGGCGCGGTGCCCCCGCGCCGCCCCCCGTCGCTGAAGTTGGAGGAGCGGCAGCGGGCGCAGCCCCGCGCCCTTACCTGCGGGGGCGTCCCGCGGTGCCGGGCCGGGCGGGGGCTGCGGGAGGCCACGCAGCGCTGGCCACTCGCCGGGCAGCGGCTGCGGCCCCGCGGAACAGCCTGCGCCCGGCAACCGGGAGCTGCCCACCCGCCTCGCATCCCTGCGCTTGGAGCATCCTTTCCCTACCCCTTTCCTCGGGTGACATACATTATAGATAAAGATATATATATTTAGTAAATCTCCTCGATCGCGGGCAGCTACCCGGCTGGGCGCTCCCCGCAGCGCTGCGCGCTCGCCCGGCGCGGCCCGTGCGCCCCGCTGCCCGCCCGCCGCGCCGTGCCCCGGCGGCACCGAGCGCCGAGGCTCCGCAGTCACGTGGCGCGGGGGGCGGGCGGCGGCGGCGGGGGGGCCGCTCCGCAGTTCGCGGTCTGCCGGCGCCCCGGCACACACCGAGCGCTGGAGGCTCCGCCGCGCCGCCTGCCAACCCGGGATCTACCTCCGTGATTTTCTAGCCCCGTTTTTCTTGGTTTTGGTTTTTTTTTTTTTTTTCCTCCCCATCACCCGTTTTCCTCAATCTTGGATAATTCTTGGGGTGCTGGGGAATTTTGGGATTTTTTTCTAAGAGGGGGGTGTCTGGGCATCTCCCCCCCGCGCCCGCTGCCTTGGTCCACCTGCCCTTGCGCCTTTTTTGTTTTCTTTCCCCCTGTCTCTCCACCAAACCCGGGCTGATGTGCTGTGCGAGAGGCTGGAAATGGAAGTGTTGATGCTCTGGCTTTTCCCCTGGATATTTCAGTGCGTTTCGGTGCGGGCGGACTCCATCATCCACATTGGTAAGAGAGGGAGCGGGGGGGGGTTGGAAAGGGACGCGGTAGATAAATAAATATATAAAGGAAGCGTCTCGTTAGCCGCGATCATGTCACGGGCAGCGGTGGAACCCAACTCCGCGGAGAGACAGGAGGACGGATGCGAGGAAGGCAGCTGTGTTCTGCCCGCGGTTGTAAAGTTAGGGCCGAAATGCCGCCTGTGCGCCGGGCAGGGGACCCGCCGGGGCCGCCGCTGCGGTCTCCCATGTGGCTGGGGAGTCTGTGCTTGGACCTGTTTGCGTGGAAAGGCTTTCTTCCCCCCACCCCCCGCCTCCTCGCCACCGAAAACAAACAACCGCCCCCATCACCCGAGCAGGAGAGAGGCATAATCTGAACGTGCTCGCAGGGAAAACTTTCGGGGAGATAATCCCCTGGTTTCCATCCCCTGCCGTAGCAGGTGTCAGCCAAGGCGGAATGCGAGGGGCGGAGGGGGAAACTTGGCTGGGAAAGGGTTAGAAAGGCGAGCTTTGCAGCGGCTCTGTGTGAGTGTGTGCGTGTGTGTGTGTGTGTCTCTGCGCGCAACTGTTGTGGTTTGAATAAGATCTCATTAAAACCCCTGGGCAGCAAGAAGGCTGGATCAGTGGGAGGAAGAGAGGGATGAATAAGAGGCAACGGAAAGGCTGATGTGAACTTTTATGGCTTCTGGGAGCAAGGCACGGTGATGTCCGCGGGAAGCCTGGCAAGCAAAAGCGAGGCTCTGCAGTCACCTTTTGGCTAGTGTTGAAAGGTAGCAGCAGGAACGAAAATGAGGATGTTTAGGGGCGGAGAGGGGGGAGAGAATCACTTGTAGAGGATGATAGAGGAGGAAACGGGAGAATGTCCGGGAAATGAAAAGCCGTAATTCCCACCAGCCTTTCGGGGAGGATGGGAGATCAGAAAAAGGAGGGGGCCGGGGTAGGAGCCATCCTGGCGAGGAGAGGCTCCACGGATACGGGAAGAAAGTCCGTGTGGACCCGAGGCAAGGAAGGGGAGAAGGGGACCAGCCCTGTAACAAGTTTCCCGGCACGGACGGCTCCGGGGCCGGTGGGAAGGAGGCTCCGCTCGTCGCCGCTCGCCTCCGGAGCCTGGGGGCGCAGCCAAGGCAGACAGCATTGCGGAGCCATTAAGGAGACGGGGTCAGCCCTGACCGCAGCGGGGGACTCCGGCCCAGGGGCAGGACCCCCACGGCACGGGGGCCAGCGCCGCGGGCAGGAAGGGAGGCGGCAGGGCCGGTGTAGAAGGGTGGGTGAAGGAACCTCCGCGGGTCTCTCTCTCTCAGCCCCGCTTCTCTTGCGCGTGGACCGTGTCATCTCGGCTTCTCCCCGCACGAACTTCAGCCGGAGTGCTGTTTGCTAACTAAGTGCTGGGCAGGAGCGGGGAGCTGCTGTGTGCAGAGCTGGGATGCACACGGGCAGTGCACGGAGGCTCAAGCCACAGGCACGCACGGTGTGAATCAGCAGGACTTTTCCAGGCTGGGGAATAATGTTTTTTGCTTGTTTTTTGCTAGCTCTAAAGATCTCCCAGCGCCACGTAGAGCAGGGCAGTAAGCCTGGCGTGGGCACACACACGCTCCGCGGAGAGGGATTTTATGTAACACACATCGCCAGATGTTTTCACGTTAACTGCATAAACAGGACAGTGAAATTAAAGCTTCCAGGTTACTGGACACAAATCCCGGCTTCACGTTCGTGTGTGCTTCTAAGCCTCAATAAAACCGCGGCCGGAAAGGCAGCATCCTAGGGACAGGCGAGCAGCGAGCAAAAAGTTGGTGGAGTTTCCAAGCCTGCTCCCTTTCCCGTCACTGGTGGAGCAAATCCATCACCCCGCCGTGCCTGGTTCAGGGCTCCGTAATTTGCCGTGGAGCAGAAGTGACCGGGAGGAACGCTGCGCTGCCCCGTGCCCGGGACGAGGCCGCCCACGTGTGTGGCCCGGCGCCACCCGGTGCCGTGCGAGCCGGCTTGAGCCCTGCACTGCCCAGAGGGGAGTGGGGGTCCTGGGCAAGCCCTGCTCACCCTCTGCCGCCTTCCTCCCCTCAGGTGCCATTTTCGAAGGCAATGCTGCCAAGGACGATGAAGTGTTCAAGCAGGCGGTGTCGGATCTGAACCTCAATGACGACATCCTCCAGAGCGAGAAAATCACTTACTCCATCAAGCTCATAGAGGCCAACAACCCCTTCCATGCGGTGCAGGAAGGTGAGCGCCCCGGGCGGCACCCACGGCGCGGGGGGCTCGGGTACGCGGACGG